CTTGTTTTTTTAAGTATTATGTTATTTTTTATTTTGTTTTAATTCTTTAGGGGACGTGTTATGAGTGTGTACGTAACCCATGTGTGTGTTTTTAGCTGATATTTGTTTTTTATCTGTATTTATTGTTTATAATAGCAGCTGGTACTATGCTCTGCGCACTTGGGTCCATGACCAATTTCTCTGAGAGGACAATAAGTATATTCTAATTTCTCTAAACAGCTCACTTCAAACCTTGTATCCCACCTCTCACATGTCAAAACATACAGAACTTGTTTGGACGCATAGGCTTTGTTAGTTGAGAACTATTTTCTCAAATGACTAGACTGTTCCAGGTTCAGCCATCTAGGGGCCTGATCTGCAGAGGGTTTGACTATCTTAAAAGGGTTGCAAACATGTTTGCACGCTCATAGCAGATCTTCAAAGAAGGTGCAAAGTGATTGTGTTTGCAATTCAGCAGATGGAGTTTGCAAACTTTTATTTTGTGTGTTTGCCTTTATCAATATGTAGGTCATATTCTAATGACCAAACTGCACAAATTCATGGATGCAGGATATGCAGATCTAAATATTTACCTCGTGCAATAGAGACGAGTGTTGATAGCAGGTGGAGCTAATGTTGGCACCCTTCCACAAAGACAAATACAGGATGGCTAAAGTCGTGCTTTTTGCTGAGTGAGCGGTTCTGGGTTTTTCTTGTTTGGACAAAGAAGCCACATGAAAAAAAAAACAGCAACTTTCTCAATTTGAGTTGTCCAAAAGGTTTTAAATTGGGACCAACACATGATGTATGTTAGCTGCACTCTATACTTTATGTTTAACATGGATTGATGTTCAACTAGACGAGCTGTTCTCTTGGATGAGAGTTTTTGAATCTATGAAAAACTGCTGGTTGTCTTGTTTTAGTAAAACTTTGTATTTTTTCATATTTGAAATATTTGTGATTTGTATGCAGAAACATTGAAATAGAATTTATTTTTAGATAGCTGGCCTTGTATAATACAACATTTATTTACATACCCGAATAGACATTAGTAACACTTTAATATAAATTAAAAAAATGAGGCAAATGGATAAACAGCTCAGCCTTAACAATGACTGCATAACTTTAATATGCTTGACGTAGCTTGCCTGTGAATAAATTAGTTGTTAAGTTGTTTCATCACAGCCTAAGAGAGCAGCTTCAATTATCTGTAACAGGGAGCGAACAAACGTCCAGCACTTAGTTTTGCCTCCTTTTTAATTTCCCCCCTTAAGTTTACTATTGGATTAAGGTCTGTGGATTAGACAGGGCACTCGGTAACGTTAAGCTTGTCTGGAGATAAGAGGCAGTTCACTTCTGTTAGGCTTCAGAGGCATTTTCTTCTCAGCATGACCCTTTCCAAGCATTTGGGTATATTCAAACTAATCCCTGTTATTTTATAACCTTAAAGGAAAATTCCGGTTTTTAACACTTTTAGCCCCTTTTCTGTAGTGTCCAAGATGAAATCGAATGATCGACACCAAAATTTTGACGATTGGTCCTGTCTCGGCTATTTGGCTCATGCAGAATCCCCCCTGGCTGCTTTAGAATGGCTTGCATAGTGCATGTCAGATAATGTCCTTAAAACAACCTTAAACGTTCTTTTTTTAAAATATGCTACTCACCGAGTCGTCAGAGCTGTTCAATGACGTTCAAAAACAAGTTTCGTAAAGAAAAAACGTTCCTGTAGTGTTTTATTTAGCATTTTGTAAATCCCATTGAGTTCTGTTGGAATAGTAAATATCCCTCCGCCACCGGAAACGGAAAGGGGGCCTGTTTACGCTTAGTTGTAGTTTTTTCGCAAGGCCCAAGTGTTTCTGCTTCACTCTGTGTACTCCGACGTCGAGGTGCTAACGTCTCTGTTAAACACTTTAAAAAACTCTGAAAATGGAATACGAAAGGTGGATTCTTGAGGAGGACATATTGGACTTTGAGTTTGATGGTAGAGAATACCGTTTTGAACCGGAATATACTGAGGAGGAGTATATAGAGACATTGTCGCCAACTAGTGGTCTGGAGTGTGCAACGCTTCAGATTCGAACGGGAAGCGGAAGTTTATAAGCGGTTGTGATGTATCGGAAAAAATAGTTCTGGGATTTACAAAATGCTAAATAAAACAAGACAGGAACGGTTTTTCTTCACGAAACTTTTTTTGGAACGTCATTGAACAGCGCTGACGACCCGGTGAGTAGCATATTTAAAAAAAAAGAACATTTAAGGTTGTTTTAAGGACATTATCTGACATGCACTATGCAAGCCATTCTGAAGCAGCCAGGGGGGGATTCTGCATTAGCCAAATAGCAGAGACAGGACCAATCGTCAAAATTTTGGTGTCGATCATTCGATTTCATCCTGGACACTACAGAAAAGGGGCTAAAAGTGTTAAAAACCGGAATTTTCCTTTAAAACCCCATAGCATGATGGATGACCAATTAAAAACCAGCAGGGTCCGAATAAAGAAAATCAACAACCTGTAAAGGTCTGGAGAGACTTTTAAATTTAATCTGGTACTTTAAACAGAATTTATCACTGAAATAATTTGGTTTTTTATGAATCCATGTTATACATTAAACTTTTAAATAAAAAAATCAATTTTGAAATCTAAAGCGTTTTTTAAATCAGAGAACAACAATCGTTCAGTTTGGTATACAGGCAATTTCCTGATTCCTGTTTTTATAAAACACTTAAACTTTACTGCTTACTCTGCCCTGCAATGTTTTTAAAACTGGGTTTAAATGGCGATAAAGCCATTCTCAAGCACATCAAGATGCTTGTTCGTGAGCCTGGATCGATATTTATATTTTATTCTGTTCAAGGTGGAGAATCCTGCTTCACAGCAGCAGGTTGAGCCGAACATTCTCAAAATGTGCAGGGTCGTCTTTGAGCACACCATTTCACTTTTCTTTCACCAGTTCACCTCAGTTCTTGCAGCAGTCCACACTTTCTCTGCTCTCTTTTTCTCATCGTCTTTTCCTTCTTTCTCATCGCCCGACCTGCCAAAGGTTTCCATGCTGTGTCTAGTGTCTCGCCGCAGCGACCCAGACTGACAGCAGCTCATTGGCTAATTTGTATCACGTGTAGCCTGGTCCCGGACACTCCGGAGGGCTTTATTAACAGGAGAAGCAGCGCAAGTGAAGTTAGACACTGCCGTTGGACAACATGCAGTAATTTATAAATGTTTTAAATCAGGTTGGGTCTGGTTCAGCGAGCAGGTGGGTCCGGATCCGGACCGCGGTCCACTAATCCGTGACCTCTGCTTTACAGTATGAATGAGGACAAATTCTTTGTTTTTGGGTTGCTGTATAACAACCAACTCCTAAACCTGACTAAAATCTTACTGGACCGTACTTTGGCAAATCAAAACCTCAAGCATGTCTGTTTGTCTTGGACAGGGGTCGGCAACCCGCGTCTCTTTAGCCTCCCCCTTGTGGCTCCCTGGAGCTTTTTCAAAAATGTATGAAAATCGATTTTTTTTTTTTTTGTTTTGTTTTAATATGGTGTGCAGGTTGCACACAAAAATGTATGTTTTCCAATGCTTAAAACATTTGTATCATAAATAAATGTAAACAATAATTTGGGACTCATTTGCTTTGATTATCAATGCTGAACGATTGCATTTTTGCTTTGTAATGAGAGGGTGTCAAAAAAAAAAAAAAAGACAAATTTGGAAAGGTATTTCCAGGGAAGGCTAAATCTGCAGCCCACCACCAAGCTGGGAGTGAGAGAAAAAGTGCGATTGCAGGATAAATTAGAGGAGCGCAAAGATAGATTTAAGAAGTGGATTGCAATTCCAAACTCCACTACTGCTGCTAGTTTTGTTGCAAGGATGGAAAACCATCCACAGATCAAACAGGTAGCGCTTTGATGCAGGTATCTGAACTTTCTTCCATTTTTTTCCCCAAATCCTAAAAATATTAATCAGACAAAGGAACGATGGTGACGGAGGATGTGGGATTTTGGGGTTAGAGAGCACAGCTCTGATGTCAGTTCCTGCTTGGTTCCTCATGACTCAATAAAACAGAAACACGTCCACCATAGAAAGATTCCTTTGTGTTTCTATATTTTCATAATTGCAAGAAAACTTAAACCGCGCAGTGAAGGTGGTGAAGCGGCGCTCGGTGAAGCGGTGCACAATGGGAGCGTTCACTGTTCCTCCGTCACCTCAGGCTACTATATGACATTGGCTTCAGGATAAACATTTATTCGTGAATGCTTATTATATATTTAAGCCCATATAGTCCTTTTCTATAGTGGGATAATACACTTAGAGCCTGTGTTGCCATACGAGGCTTATATAAGGCTTTTACATTTTTGCGGCTCCAGACAGATTTTTTTTGGTCCAATATAGCTTTTTGAGCAGTTTGGTTTGCCGACCCATGGTCTTGGAGCATTTTTTAATGGTATCTTCGCCTCCCATAGGTCATAGGTCCCCCCCCGTCCCCCCCCCCGTCATAGAATATAGATGCAACTCTTTGTGTTCAATCATTAGAGAAGTACGTATTGGTTTATCTTTCATAGTTTCCTACTGGTGGTTTCTATTCAAATCCTTTAATTATACATTTCTAACTTTAGTTTTATACATTTCCCTCTTGGCAGTGAACTTTATAAGTGAAATATGATCCTCTTCTTAGCACTGTTTGGAACAAGTTTTTTGGGTGTTTTTTTTTTTTTAAATTCCCCAAGGATGAATGACTTCACTACTTTGAATGTTTTGGGAAAATCCCTTTTTAATGAATTATTCTGTTACACAAAATCGGTAGCAAGCATGTTATTGTATTATTCTAAGATTAATAGTATATTAGGTCCTGTGTATTCATGTATATTTGTTATTTCTACAGAGATTAAACTGGTTAGTGATGTTGGATTTTTATTTTTCAGTCATTAAAATAATAATGATGTGTACGTATTCATTTTTTTTTCAGACATCTGTATGACTTAAGTGAATAATAGTGTGTGTATATATATTTTTTTGTCTCCTTCAGAAAACCACGGCCTGTTTCTCAGCTTGTCGTACAGGTAAATCAACAGTTTGCCTCGCCGACGCATCCCAAAAAGGAGAAGAAGGAAAAATCTGAGAAGGACAAAAGTGAAAAGGATACAACACTAAAAAAGAAAAACCAGAAAAGGATGAGGTAACTGCTTCACTTCCATTATAAAATGTTTGAAAGATTCATTCTTTTTGTTATCGTTTATTATCCTTTCTAAGCTTTTTTTTTTTTTTTTTTTCAGCAGGCCCAGGCTAAAGAACATAGACAGGAGCAGCGCCCAGCATCTGGAAGTCACAGTTGGAGACTTGACTGTAATTATCACAGACTTTAAAGAGAAAGTTAAACCCACATCTTCTTCGGCGAGCGCCGCCTCAGCTGACCAGCACAGCCAAAGTGGCTCAAGCTCTGATAACACGGAGCGAGGAGTCTCCAGAAGCTCATCGCCCCGTGCAGAGACTTCATCCATCAACGGAGAGATTCACTAACCCTCACCGTCTGCACTCTCAACAGTCTGTCAGAAAATAAACTTCATCATGCACAGTTTTTTTCTAAATTAAACCTTTAAATGGTAGCATTCACTTCCACTTAAGGTCGTATGTTTCACTGCCTTCCCTGTGTTTTACCTTGACTGATTGATTCCAGATACCCCTGCAGCTAAAACTGTTCTGATGAACTGAAGAGAGAGCAGTAGCATTAAAAGTTGGATGTCGTTATATGACTGCGGCACATTTCCTGGTGCTTTAACAGTGTTAGATCTGTGTCACGGGCTGGTGTTAGTCCCTGCACAGAATAATAGGTCGTGAAGGAAATGTGTCAGCATGTTTTTTTTTTTCTTTTTCTCAACATTATTTGCACTTGTTGCCAATCCTGTGTTTGTAACGACTTTAGCATTATTTTTATGTTGCTGTTAAAACACTGTTGGTTACTTGCCTTTTTCGGCATATGTCCTTATCCTATTGAATGCAATAACGTTTTTATTATCTTATCATTGGAGTACAGTTTGACTGAGCAAGCTTTACTCTCAGTTGGTACAGTTTAGAATGATTTACTCTATAGATGGTTTATATTGTAAAATATTAAAGAAATCATAGATACACAAATGTTTCTGAATTTATATATGACACTGTGTTTCTATCTGGTACTTGCATATTTTCTCATCCTGCAATCATCTTTAAGATATGCAGCTTTTCTTCACATCTGTAATTAAAATGCTGTCCACTGGGATTTATAATGGTGAATAATCCATATAGCTTAATATTTTTAGGGTAAATTTAAAGGTTTGAGGCTTGAATATGGAACTACTCATCCTGGTTTCTATCAATTTATATCCTGGTTCTCTTTTATGCGTGCATCTGACTGCAACATAATGAACTCTCCACTATATTAAAAGGATTTCTTTAAAATGTTGAACTCAATTTATTTTTATCTTTAATTTTTTTTTTTGTATAAAATAATTTCTTTAAACATTTTGTGAAAAGAAATCCTATTTAGAGATGCTTTTAGAAATACTCATCTCAACAATTAAGAAAAATAATTTATTTTAAAAAAGGAAACTATTTAGATTATTGCATACAAGTGTGTGATTCAGTTAAATCGTCTTTTTTTTTCAATTTGATTTGGAATACAGCTATTGGAAACTCCCAATGCCCACATTCCCAGATGCATTTTTTTAATTTATTTTTTTTACTTGGAAACCAAAAAAAAAAAAAGAAAATTATTTCACTGACTTGACAGTTTTCCAGCAGAAAGTCCTCATGATAAGCCAGGAATGTGTAGCTACTTTAGTTGCAGCTTTTTTGCATCCATCAAGCTTAGTGTGCTGATTTCTAGCACAGTGATGCAGCCCTCGCCTGTCCTCCATATTGATTAATACTTTTATTTAGAGTAGCAGTTCTCGTTAGTTCTGGCAAAGGTCTACATCCCTCCATAAAGTTGTAAATGAATCAGAGGCTTAGGTTTGGAAAAGCTGGCTGTTCTGATCAAATGCACAGAGGGATTAAAATACTTTTTTACTGGATATTTTTGGTCTTGGTAATTTTAAAGTATACACCTTACTGATTTACTTCTAATTACAGAAAACATTTGAAGCCCCTCATACAGTGTACCTGTAACTTAACCTGTGGCTGTCAGAAAGTGGACAGGAGTCAAAATAGAATGCAAAGTTCTGCTTTGACAACAGTGATTTTACTGCATTTTCAGCTCTCACCACTGACCTGTAAAAACATGAGCTGTTGGATCATGTATCAGTTTTTGTTGGGATGTGTGCACTGCCAAATATTTGCTCCACTTTTCCATCACTCATTCTTTACTGTATTTTTTTTTTCTTATTGAAAGAAGCATTGGTGTGAGTAGAAGTTCTGTATTTTATGCAGTCTGTAGATCCTACAACAGGAGGGTAACTGTTCAAACACGATGACTGGGATATGCAGCGTCTTTACTGATGTATCCACCATGGCCACAGGTGTGTAAAGCCAAAACACACACCATGTGGTTTATCTATTTTAGAGATGAGGTGATTGGAATACCTTTTTTTATTTATTTGGATGGTGGACCCAATATTTTTGGCAGCATAGCGTGTTTATATACTCACTGCCAGACAAAAGTTTGAACACATCAAATTCATTGAATATCCTTATTACCTCCACCAAGGAGGTTATTAATGAGTTTGTGTGTGTTTGTTTGTCTGTCTGTCTGTGTACAGGATACCTTGATAAGTTATGAATAGATTTTTATTATTTTTTTACCAAAGGTGCACCTCAGTCCAAAGAACAATCCAATACATTTTGGTCATGATCCACATCATAATCCAGATGCAGGATTTTTTAAAAGGATACTTTAAGATGATTTGGTGGAACAAGCAGTTTCTCCCAAAACCAGAGAGTAGCGGCAGTGACTGACATCAGAAGAGGCCAGAAGTATTACACTGAAGACAAAAACACAGAGAAGGTGAGCAATACTTTGCTCGAAGTCTCAGAGTCTGTCTGCTGATCAAATAAAGCAGAGTGAATAAAGAAGGTATGGGCAGAGCAGACACCAGAGGCTGCAGACTCACACTGTGCCACACTCAAAAACTTTAAGATAAATGGAGGCAGAAGATGTCTTTCAGTCATCAATGCACACATTCAGCAACACACAGGAGCTCTTTCAAGCTGGGCACCGTTTCTTACACAACACCTGTCCCATCAACCAGCAATCAGAAATACTTTAATAATCCCAGAGCAAAATTACTTTTATTACATGACTCCATATGTAATAGAGTGACTATAGGACCAGTTTGATATAACACAATTTCATACAATATATATAATTACCAAAAAGACCTCCCTCATCCTTGGCCCTATCTCAAAGAATATTTTCAAAATAGTTGAAAAATTGAGCTTTCAATTCATATAGTGGCATCTTGCTATTTTTTTTTAAGATTACTTTATGCTTTTATACTTTAAGTAGTTTTTGGAGCACATACTTTTTCACTTTTGTTTGTTTGCTGTAAAGTGCCTTGAGATGACTTGTGTTGTGAATTGGCGCCATATAAATAAACTGAATTGAATTAAGTAAAGAGTTCAAGTTGATACTTCAACTTTTACCACAGTGTTTTTAAACTGCAGTATTTATACTTCTACTCAAGTAACAAATGTGTGTACTTTTGACACCACTGGTGAGGACCAGCAAAATGTCCTCCCTGTACAAAAACCCGTCCTCATTGTGATGGTAAAACCGGAAAAATGGTCGTCCTCACTCTGGTACACATACACAAACACACACTACACACCAATGGCATAAGGATACAACAATAGGCCCTTAAGCTACGTTATCTGGGTGGGCCCCATATGAAGTACTTTTCTGGAATCCGCTTAAATACCTCTTTTTGGTATCCATCGTAGCTAACACATTGTACGTAACAGTTATGGCTTTAATCTACGCTCTGGATTGCCCATATTTCCAAGTCGCATTGTAAAAAATAAAATACTCAAATACATTGTTCTTTTAAGATCTTTATTGCGGTTTGAAACATATAGGATTGTATTTTTTTTTTTTTTACCAAGTAATGAACTATGCATAGTTATTAACATAGTAATTAACATAGTAATTAACATAGTAATTAAAAGTACCACTGTCTGCTTTGCTATTGGTGTGTTTAAACAGCTCACCATCATGTTGAAATCGGCCAGGTGTTGGGGTATAAATAAGGTCTGGTCAGTAAATGTTCTATCAGGTGGGTTTAAGATGAATTTTTCGCACCATCACATCTGCAAAGACACACCCTAGTCTATAATTGTGTAGGGGGGCCACCCAGGTGTCAGTGACGGGGCCCCTAAGCTACTGCAGAGTCAGACTCTGCTTACAGATAGTTGCGCCCCTGCTCTGTCAGTGCAGTCCTTAGGAACATGTGGGACAGTGGGCGGAGCTTAAATTTGTAAACACCAAACTAAGCTGACTTTCTGATAGCGCCACACATGGTGCTCAGCTGGGATCAGATAAAAATGTTTCATTTTGAACATAACTGAAGCGCAAAATGCGATGCTATCTCCACGCTTATCTCCTGTGCTCTGCTTTTACCCTCTGCTCTATACTGTATGTGTGCAGCCAGCTAGCTTCCACCTCAGAGGGGGACAGGGAAGGCAAGGCAGCCGCGAGGAGCAGCCATAACGAGGGGGACGCCGTCAGGAAAATACCAGGCCTGTTAGGCCTCCGGGACCGAGACTTTGAACAGAACAGGTATTTATTTATTTTATTTTAACAAACTGTGACTTTTTTTTTTTTAAAGAGTAGTCATTTAGATAATACTTTGTTAACTTTAGATGTTAGTTAATCCTGCTAGTGGTTTGTTTAGAACCTGCTAGCGAATAAAAAGCATTAGCTTAGAAAATGATGCTAGCGATATTCAGTTTTTTTTTTTTCGGTGCCACATTAAGGTTAATATTCGGTTTTTTTTTTTAATATGTCAAGTTCTACACGTGGCTTAGTTCAAAAGTAACACTAGTTTACTAACATTGTAATAAACAGACTTAAAGTTGCTTCTAATTATCTCATTATCTTCAGCTTAAAAGCGGATTTAGAGGACAACCATCTGTTATTGGGCTTTTCACCATCGATATCTAGAAGCTATTTTCCTTCATAATTAACTTAAGATCAAAAAGAGGCTTTTTTTATTCTGTCAGGTGTAAATCATTGTCAGTATCTTACTGGAATCCATATTGGAGACTTCCTGCAGATGTTTGTGGAGCGAACTGCTTATTGGAATCACCTCTTAGGTATGATTTAATTTTATAAACATTTGTAATAATATATGATATTTTAAAACTTAAAATGTTCCCTGGCTTTTGTTTTACAGCTTCATTTTTGAGTTACTGATATCAGATGTGCATAAATTGATCAGAAATCAGACTATCACTGTGCTCTCTGCTCGCTTTTATTAGTCAATGATTGTTATTTAAATATTTGTTACACAGCAAAATATTATCAGCATATAATTATGATCTGACCTTTTACCTCCACTGCAGGGAAGTTCATGATAAAAGAGTGAAGCCACACCCTACCTCCGCCCTTTGCTATGATCATGCATGGGCTCCATTACTCATTTCTAAAGGCCTAGTAGGAACAGTGCCTTGCAGAAATATGAATATAGCCTCTGTTTAGGCTATTTGTACAAAACTAAAATTCAAAAAACTTAAGACCTGATCAAAGCAAAAGGTGAATTCAACTCAAATAGCCACCTGATGCACCGTGGATTCTGGTTTACGGAGTCCAAAAAGATAAAAAAAAAGGTCAAAATCCAGTTCTTTTCTTGCTTTATTCTCCGTACAGACAAACAGCATACAGCTTTAATTATTCCATATTTGGTCATTGTAGTGGGAAAAAAGTATTCGACGGATTTACCTCAGTCTGCACTTTATTCATCACATCTTTGCAAAAAGAGAACAGGTCATCATACAGCCCTTATGGCACAGTATTCAGCCCCGTTCTGCCTGAGCAGTGTTTGTTCCCCCTTACTTACAACAATGGAAAGTAGTCAGAGTCAAAACAAATTACAGACACTTTGGTTAAACAACATGTTATGAATAAACCTTGAGAAAGAATCTGGTTTGTTATGGGAAGAAGCTATGTCTGGTCTAAAAACATCCTCATGCAGAGAATTGTGTGACCTTGCAGGCGAAACAGACTTAGTAAATAGGATAAATTAATATATGAAATAAGAGAAATCTAAATTTTCCGACAACAGTCATGTTACCAGGAGAAACTTCTGTTTACTTTATGTGAAAATTAAAACAATGTGCTGCTTAATTCAATCTATTAGACATCTGCAATGAGCCCCTCTGAATTAATACTTTGTATAAACTGCTATTGATGTAACTACTGGTGTAAATTTTTTCAGGGTACATACAAAGCTGGGCACCAATTTGTGAAGAATAAAAGTCGTCGCACATTGGTTTCCTTAAATTAACGATTCCTTTGAACTATGAAAATATTTATAACTATTCTAAATAAAAGTTGTTTTGGGAACAGACTGTTTTAAGCTGTTTATTGTGACATCCTAAATTATTTGAAGCATTTATTTATTTTTTCATAACTATAGAAACAAACAGGTCAAATTCAAGTCTTTGTAATGATTTGTTAAACTTTACTAAGAACAACATTGAGCTATAACTGAGCTTAATGCCGTGGCTAGACAGCGCTTTTTAGAATTTATAAAAACAAAACTTATTAGAGTTTTGTTCATCTCTGACAGTTGTGACAGTTTAATGACTTTATTGTCACAAGTACAGAGCAACTAAATTAACTCACTGCATTTAAGTGATTTAATTGCCATCGTGGGGCACCTGGGGGGCAGTGTGGGGGTTAAGGGTCATGCTCAGGGAGCCAGGGTGGCAGTCTGTGGTAATGGGGCTTGAACTCAGAACCTAATCCATGCTTCCTGGTTGCAGAACTTACCACGTAACATGAAGTGTATTGACAGAGTCTCTCTCTGATGGTCTGACTGCTTCGTTACCATGGTTATTTAGACACAAGGGATGGGGTTTGGCCAAAACTTTCAGTGCTTTCAGTTCTGCGTACATTCCGATGAGTGAAGATAAAGTGTGTGGTAACACACGAACGCAGAGTTTTATATATCTTTACATCTGACTTTTCTGTGGACTGCAAGTTTCGAAATATCCTGCTTCTGCTGCTTAAAGCTGCACACTTTTGTGCACGAGGCCCAAGAAATCTATTCACTGATCACCTCTGAAGGCAGTTGGTGGGACTTAATCTTTCTCAAAGGTATCAGATTAAAAGGGGCTAAACACAAATGTACTGCAATCTTAAAAAAAACCAAAACATTTATTTATCCTTTTCTAATTACTTGAAAAAACTACAGAACACAGAGAAAGTAGATTGGTTGTATTTTTGATAAGTGACCTAATGTGAGTGAGATAAAGCAGTATTTATATTTCTTTAAGGCATTTTTATCAGCTGTGCTTGTTAAGACTTTAAAGGGGATTTGACCCCAATTTTGTTAGTTAATCTTTCTTGAACCAATGAATCTGCTCAGAAAGTATTGTTCACATATAAATGTGTTTATAGGTAAAGATTTTTTTAAATCAAAAAGCTTATTAGTCAAAAAAAGAAGTAGAGTTTTGCATGATATCAGTGCTTGTCGTGTCCAATGCTAATTTTAGGAAATACATGTTTACTTCCTTCCATTTTACACAAATATGGTGAAATTCCACACATATTTGGATCACCATTCTTTTTAAGAGGTTTTACACTTTCCAAGGTGGGTGTTGGTATAAAGTAGAGGCTTTTTTTTAATTTGGCAAATGCCTGTTTAAATCTGCTGTTCTAAAAAAGCAAATAAATCCAGTGACTGATGTAATCATTTATCTCTTGGCACTTAGAGGGAAGTTAAAGTCTGCTGCAAAAGAACCTAAAAATGAGAGCAGTCACCTGGCTGTGGTGGCCTGTGGGCCCAGGCTGGAGGAAACTGTCACCATGCTGAAGTCTGCCGTTCTCTTTAGCAAGAAGCCGCTGCACTTCTACATCTTTGCTGAGGATGAGCTGCATGACGGCTTTAGAAATGCTGTAAGTGTGCATCCCCAAAAACTCTGTATGTACAGATGTAATTTCCATAGGAAGATTTAGAATGCAAGAGAATACTAACATTGCTAACAATATTTTAAACCTTTATTTTTAATAGGGGTGTAAATAATAGTCGTTTTGTATCGATGCATCGATCCAACAGCCGACGATCCGATGCATCGACACGTCCGCAAGAGAATCGATTCATGTTTTTTTTTTTCCCTCCGGTCTATTTTTATCCATTTGCTCCTGGACGTAATTCTCCCTCCCGTGCTGTGGTGGCGCTAAAACTATTTTGCCCTCCTACCGCGCTTCCTGGTTATACTCCTGCAGCAGTGTGTTGCAGTGAGCTTGACACAGACATTTTTTTAATTTATGCTCAATATTGAAGCGTGATCTGTGCTACACACTGTGGGTCTAGATATGACCGAGGCGGCGAGGAAGTGGGGGCGAGTTTAGTCCGACGACGGAGGGACATGAGGGCCAAAAAGAGCGGAGATCCAGGTGGAAAAAGGGTCCCAGCATTCTTGCGCACCTCGCTCTTCTAGCGGGTGAAACTTCACAAGTTGTTTTCCGCAATTTCGGTCATAAAAACAAAACAAGCCGGCCTCCTGTCTGCGGCACTGTCTGCGGTCATCTACAATTTGGGAGAGGTGCAGCGGAGCGTCTGTGGAGGGGGCGGGGACGTCTGGAGCCGAGGTATTTCATTGCACTCATTGTACTGATTTTCTGCAGTATTTTTTGANCCACGTAACATGAAGTGTATTGACAGAGTCTCTCTCTGATGGTCTGACTGCTTCGTTACCATGGTTATTTAGACACAAGGGATGGGGTTTGGCCAAAACTTTCAGTGCTTTCAGTTCTGCGTACATTCCGATGAGTGAAGATAAAGTGTGTGGTAACACACGAACGCAGAGTTTTATATATCTTTACATCTGACTTTTCTGTGGACTGCAAGTTTCGAAATATCCTGCTTCTGCTGCTTAAAGCTGCACACTTTTGTGCACGAGGCCCAAGAAATCTATTCACTGATCACCTCTGAAGGCAGTTGGTGGGACTTAATCTTTCTCAAAGGTATCAGATTAAAAGGGGCTAAACACAAATGTACTGCCATCTTAAAAAAAACCAAAACATTTATTTATCCTTTTCTTATTACTTGAAAAAACTACAGAACACAGAGAAAGTAGATTGGTTGTATTTTTGATAAGTGACCTAATGTGAGTGAGATAAAGCAGTATTTATATTTCTTTAAGGCATTTTTATCAGCTGTGCTTGTTAAGACTTTAAAGGGGATTTGAATTTTGTTAGTTAATCTTTCTTGAACCAATGAATCTGCTCAGAAAGTATTGTTCACATATAAATGTGTTTATAGGTAAAGATTTTTTTAAATCAAAAAGCTTATTAGTCAAAAAAAGAAGTAGAGTTTTGCATGATATCAGTGCTTGTCGTGTCCAATGCTAATTTTAGGAAATACATGTTTACTTCCTTCCATTTTACACAAATATGGTGAAATTCCACACATATTTGGATCACCATTCTTTTTAAGAGGTTTTACACTTTCCAAGGTGGGTGTTGGTATAAAGTAGAGGCTTTTTTTTAATTTGGCAAATGCCTGTTTAAATCTGCTGTTCTAAAAAAGCAAATAAATCCAGTGACTGATGTAATCATTTATCTCTTGGCACTTAGAGGGAAGTTAAAGTCTGCTGCAAAAGAACCTAAAAATGAGAGCAGTCACCTGGCTGTGGTGGCCTGTGGGCCCAGGCTGGAGGAAACTGTCACCATGCTGAAGTCTGCCGTTCTCTTTAGCAAGAAGCCGCTGCACTTCTACATCTTTGCTGAGGATGAGCTGCATGACGGCTTTAGAAATGCTGTAAGTGTGCATCCCCAAAAACTCTGTATGTACAGATGTCATTTCCATTGGAAGATTTAGAATGCAAGGGAATACTAACATTGCTAACATTCTTTTAAACCAGGGAGAAGAAATTAATATATTTTAAAATATCTCAATAAACTCTATTGTGAAAATCATTAGAAATCTTCACTTGCACATTTAAATAAATATTTTCTATTTCAACTATTTTTGTTGTTGTTTTAGCTCCAAAACAATAAAAACATGTAAAGAAAAACATATAAGAAATAATGGAAAGTTGTTTTTATTTTTTATTCCCCAAGCTGGAAACATGGCCTCCTATGATCCGAACAAAGTTTACATTCACCATCTATCCAATCCTGTTTCCTGAGGAGAATGCAAGCGAGTGGAAAAAGCTCTTCAAACCTTGTGCCTCTCAGAGGCTCTTCCTGCCGGTACGTCTATATTCATTCAATCAAAACGTCCACGACAAGCTTATGTTTTAAAAATTCCTAATATTTTTCCCTTTTTTTTGTTCTTTTTCAGCTGATCTTAAAGCAAGTGGATTCTCTGCTTTACGTAGACACAGATATTCTTTTTTTGCGTCCAGTAGAAGACATCTGGAGCCTGCTCTCTCAGTTTAATGTGAACCAATTGGCTGCCATGGCACCAGAGCACGAGGAGCCTCGCATCGGCTGGTACAATCGTTTCGCACGCCACCCTTACTATGGCAAGACAGGCCTTAACTCAGGGGTCATGCTTATGAACATGACACGCATCCGGGGAAAATTCTTCAAGGTAAAAAGCCCTTTAGCTATAGTCATCGATTTATAGGGTATGCTCAAGCATTTGAGATTTTGAGAGTTACAGTAATTGGCATTTAAATGTTTTATTGTACACTATATTATCACTAAATTACCTTAAAAGTGACAAAAATGATTTAATTTAAAGATGTAAAATACAGTTTCCCATGGTTGTTCTGCTGCAGTACTCAGATGAAACACTTGAGGTCACTCTTGCACTTCTATTTAAAATCCTTTCAGCATTCCTAGATTTTTTAAAAAGGTGCTTCATTGCCTCAGAATGACATTAAATAAACCGATTTAGCAGATTTGTTTGAATTGATGTTGCGTGATGCAAATATGTGGCGTCGCTATATCTTGTCTCTGCAGAATGACATGACAGCTGTAGCACTCCAGTGGGGGGAAATTTTAATGCCTCTTCTTCAAAAGTATAAACTCAACATCACTTGGGGGGACCAGGATCTTCTCAATATTATATTTCATCATAACCCAGGTAGGTTTTAACTGCATTACGGTATTGTTTTTTTTTTTTATCATTTAGGACAGATTTTCTTTTCTTTGTTTTTTAATAGCCTTTTATTGAAGAAGCAAGTTTATGTCTCTTCTTCTACAGAAAGCCTCTACATGTTCCCCTGCCAATGGAACTACCGTCCCGACCACTGTATCTATGGAAGCAACTGTCAACAGGCTGAAGAAGAAGGTGTCTTTATTCTCCATGGCAACAGAGGAGTTTACCATAATGACAAACAGCCGGCTTTTCGAGCCGTCTACGAGGCTGTCAAACAGGTAGGAAGAGAACATTATGGCAAAATAAAAACATCTTGCAGACATTTTTTTTCTTTCGTTCTGTTTCTAAAATATTTAGCTGTCGTAAAAGCAAACATTTAAAGCAATATAAGGTGAAATTAGCAGGAAATCTTCACAGACTGTATTTTTAGCCCACGGTTCCACTAGATGAAGAGGCGCAGAATAAGCGCCGCGGTGCGGCCCCGCCGGGCCTCTGCAGCTGATCGCAGCAATTCAAGTCGATTAAGTGGTTCCACTGGGTGCGCTGCTGCACGCTTCTGAAGTGTCCCAGATGCATGAGCCGCTTCTCTAAAACAGGCTGTTCTATTTTACCAACTCCAAATCATTCTAGCAAACTCTTCAGGCAGGAAGTCTGTTGACGAAAGGATTTGCTCGCTTTACCAAATAAAAGACAACCTTTGCAGAACGTGGATCGAATGTTTTGGACTTTCATGCAATGAAAACTTCTGTTCATACAGTCAATCGGCAGTCAATAAATTAGGTATATATTTAAAAAATGACAGACATAACAAATGTGAAGTCATTTAACCATGATTGATCTAAAGGGGACCAAGATAAAGTGTTTAGATTAGAGCGGGATGCTGGTAATACCGGCAAAATAAACTTTACTGGTTCATTGTTCTATTTCAAGCTTACAGGTACACTAGCAGTCTCCTCTAAAATGCTTCCAGTGGAATAGGATCAGACCTTAATGTGAAAAAGCATAAAAAAATGAAGCAGCAGAAGCTTTTTTGCTGCTTCTATAACAGCAGCAAAAAAGCTATAATGTAGCATAAGTGTTTTCCATATTATATATTGATTAATTGCATTATCTTTCATGTAAGTAATCACAATATCTATAACTATTTAACCCAGATGGTCTTTTTAAAGTTGCAATTATAATAATAAATGTATAGATAAAAATTGTTATACTGGTGCATCCATTTGGACCTAAGTGCTCACTTAAGAGTGCAATTTATGCTAGAAACACCACTGATTGTGTGTAGACCAGACTATTTGGAGAAATGTTCCTTAGCCATTTGCGTATCGATAGGCACTCCAGGCTGTGCTTTTCTATTATGGATATATCCGCCCGCTCGCACAGAATCAATATTCTGCTAAACATTTCCTTTATCATATTTAAGTTCCACAAAGAAAGGGGTTTTACTAGTGGTTACATCTTTCAAGCTCCACTATCTGACGTCTGTTGCACAGTTTGATTAACCTCTAAAACGTAAGGTTAAATATATATATACTGTTTGTACCCCTCATGCTGCAGAAAGCAGCTTTGCGAAGTGTGTGCACAGGAGGCTGTAATTTCACCACAAAGCACCGCTGCTGTCCCACGGGTTGTGCTGTTCCGCTTTTTGATGTGAGATCTTGGCTGGTCACAACAGAAACATAATCTGGAAATATCCCGCTCATCTAAACGAGGATAGACTTGATATTTTTCATCATTTCATACTGCTCAGTACCTGGAGCCATAGGCTTAGTCTGCTACAAGTAGCTATAAGGTTAGGCGTGCACCAAGCTGAGCTGGTTTTGTTTTGGTAGTCAGGTCCAGGTGAGGCTAGATGAGGCAAAATACACGTTGTCATACCTTTCTGCAGGAGATGAGATGTGAAGGAGCTGCTGCTTCATCTGTGCTGATTGTCTTTTGTTTGGATGCAGATAGGAAATAGGAATGTTTGAGATACAAAACTCAGGTTAAGCACTTCTGTTACAGCAAAGGAATATATGTAAATAAAAAAATAAATCTAAACACAGCTCAAAGTGCACCGATGCTAGTATCAGCATTACAGTAAACAATGACAGCCACTTAATGGCTCCACGTACATTAGATAAGACCTTATTCCAGTAAGGAGGTTTACATGAATTGCATAGAGAATGCTCTATTTTTATATCCTTAGAGATGCTTCAGATCATAATCCGATCAATTTAATTCAATTGTATTTTATGGGCCCTGTGTAACATCAAAGTTTGATCAGACCCTAACCTGCTTCATATCACTTTGGTCTCTGCTTCCCCATAAAAGCTTTATGCACCCCCCACCTTCCTGTTCTGTTACATCAGCCATGAGTTGGGAGCATCCAGTGTAAAGCAGTGGGGCATCATGGAAACACCTGATGGGACAGAGTTCAGGCTTACACATGTCTAAAGACATGATATCATATTTCTCACATAGCCTAATTTAAGTTGCAGTAAGGTGACGGGATTCAGAAAATGTCTTAGAATGTAACAGGAGCTTGGATTAATCAAATTGTAAAGTATGTAAATATAATCCAATGATGCAGATTAAAATGACAATCCTAGAAAAACCCAGCACTATGTTGATTTCAGAGAGACTAAGTTTGAATTTAACAGTAAAACATTGTTTACTTTTACAGTGCAGGTAAGATGTTTATAAGGCCTCCCAATCAGTGTAAAGATTATTAATAATGGCCTCATAATGATGCATATGTTTATTTCCAGGATCATTCGTCAACTGTGTCACTCTCATTCTGTCCAAAGTTGCTACTTTTCAGCTGCTAATAAGAGCGAAGGTGAAGAAATCGGAGGAAACCTTTTCATTATTCAACCCTCTTTTTTGCTATGGAACAATATCACTGGCAGTGTTATAGACCCACAGCGTGATGCTATCACCATTGTGCTTCTCAATTGGTGGAATAGCGCCTCTTCCTTTAAAAATCCGCTGGATTCGTAGCAGGAATTCTAAGTAATTCGTCAAGGACATATTCAGCGTGAGAGAAACTGCAGTACACCTTTAGTCCAGCGGATGGCGGTAGTGAGAACACTAATTGATTTACAAATTCCTCGCAATGCTGACCAACTATGTAAGATTTAGTTTTTTTTCTTTTTTCTATCAACCTGCATCTGGCCAGTTACTTTATACCTGCAAAAGTCATTTAAAATAACTACTATAAACTGGTTTGCGGTTATTTTTCTTTTATTATAACAATTATCAGGTAAATCTCATATGTACAGTCCACAGAAAACATGTTTTTTTTTACTCTTTTTAATTAAATTAAATTTATAAAATGTTTTCCAAACATACAATGAATTATTGTTTGACGGTAGTTTTATATTTTCATTAAGCAGAAGCTGTAGACAGTGGATTCATGTTGTTCAGACCTCATAATGGATACCAAGAATGATCTCTACTCCTGCAGTGCTGTCAGCATAGAAGCATGAAAAAAATGTATCTCTATTCATGTGTATAAAGGGGTTACACCCCACTATATTAGGTTTTGCAAGAAGACCCAGTCTTGTCTCTTCTATCTACAAGACACTCCACCAAAAGTGAAAGTGTACTGTCATTGTTCCATTAATTTCATTTCTTTAATCCAGCAAATATTGACCTCAGATCCTTCGAACGAAACATTTTACATTACACTAAAGTGATTGATTGATTGACTTTATTGATCTCACAGTAGATAAATGTACTCCTTACATCAGCTCGAATAGTCAAAGAAGAAGAATGTGCCAGAGGAAGAAAAAGGTGCACGGGATACATACAGTATATACACTGCATCCACATATGACTGCTTTTTTAAAATTTTTATATAGTAGGATCATTATACAGGGTTATGGCAAGGGGCGTTTACCTGGGTGGATGGATATAGATGGATATTTATATAAATATATATAGTTATTGCACTGGGTGTCAAACATAGAGAAACAGGTTATTGCTCAGGGTATGAAATAATAAATTGCACATTATACATTACACAAGTTATAGCCGTTGTTGTGTCGTATTGTATAGTCTGGTTTTAGCAGGGACGAATGACCTGCAGTAGCGCTCCTTTTTACAAACAGAGTGTAAAAGTATTTCACTAAAGGAGCTGCTCAGTTCCTCTAGTCTGGTGCTGAAGATGGAAGGTGTTGTCCATGATGGATGTAAGCTTGGACAGCATGCTCCTCTAAGCCACTTCCTCCACTGAGTCCAGAGTGCAGCGTAGGACAGAAACAACCTTTCTCACTAGTTTGTTCAGCCTCTTTCTGTTCCGCTCTGCGCTGATGCCACTACAGAGTCATAGAAGGTTTTAACAGAGGCCTGCTCACTTCAAAGGACCTCAGCCTCCTCATGAGGGGGAGGCAGCTCTGGCACTTCTTATACAGGGCGTCGGTGTTATGAGTCCAGTCCAGTTTATCACTGACAGGAACACCGAGGTATCTGAAACTCCTTTAAATTGTAGATGAGAATAGAAAATACCTTTATTTTCCTACAATAGGAAAACTCTGGTGAATCATGGCTGAAAACCCACCTGTTTAGAGCTGCTTTGTTTAGTAGTTCGCATTCAGTCTTTACCAAGAGATCCCAACTGGCAGTGAGGCGGATCTTCATGTGTTTTTCAGTTTTGAATAGGTGTTAGGGTTCCTGGATAATTCAAGGACATTATCCAGTAGATTACATGAAACCAACAATTAAAGTTGTCTTAACTGTCCTTAAAAGAAGAGTTAAAATAGATTTAATGTCAGGATTTTGCCCGTGGCTACCTGTATTGTGCCAAGAGGTAGTTATTCAATATTGGTGAAGGTTGGTGTACAAATATGTGTGTGAATAGTCGAGGAGGAAATACAGGCGAGATTCAGTCATGTGCCCATAATTTGTGAGTGGAAATACAGTCCTCATTCTTTAGAAAAAAGTACAGTACGTGTTGTTTTACTGTCATAGGTAAGAATATGTTTTATGGCATAGTGAGCATTTATTGTTTACATTTTGTAGAGCCCTCATTGAACCCTATGAGCTTAAAGATTCAGCATATTTTTCATCTTAAATTGGCCTGAAAGCTTATGCTCTTCATAGCTGCTCTGTTTCAAACCGCCTTTGTTGATTTTGAGCCCATTGGTCAACATGCAAGCACAGATTCACGGGAGGAGAAGACGCATTATCCATCCTCCATCCATTACTAGGACAGGCCTAGCCTGGCCACTATCAATGCAGGCAATGTTCTTAGCCATTAAGTAAACGAGCAGGCTTCATTATGGGGCAGTTGGCCCTCGTAGCTTGATCTGTCTCTCAGACGGCACAGAATCACGGACTGCACATATTAGAGTCACCGGACTTTAGGATGTTTGTGAATGGAAACTGATCTTTGTCACAAAATGAACCTGTTAGTTCAGAGAAGAACAAAACCTCCTTCCTGTTTCTTTCAGTTTGTCTTTCTGAATTTGATTCTCCTTTTCTTCGGCCCTCTCAATACCTCTTTTTTCCCCAATCATTGGTTTGATAACAACATGCTAAAGCCTGGAACAGGCAGTTCTGGAACAAACTCTGATTTCCATCTCACCCACGAGCATCTAAGTCAGCCCTGCTCCCAAGGCAGGCCCTCTCAGCCGGCAGAGAAGCTTGCAATAAAGGCCACTACCATTACCGAGCCAAGCTCACTGAAGAGTTGTAAAATTTTTAGTGCTGATGCTAGTTTGAGACATGATGATGGCTGTGTGGACAACGTCATGGCCACATCCACATAAAAATCGATAGACGGCTGTTAATGGCACTATATTGCCCGCTGAAAGATAATAAAGAAACAGTGGTTTGAGTAATGTGATGCTTTCCCAAACTGGAGTCAAATAAGATGCTGTAAAATAGTGAATCCCCCCCTTTATTTACTAGACCTATAAAAGATTGTTCCTCCTTAATGTGAAAGTGAAAGGCTTGGATCTTTATCTTCACATACAACTTGACAAGAGCGCTGGCTGCTATTAACTGGAAGAGAATCTGGAAGTTTTATCTTTGCTGTTCTTTCGGTGATAAACAAAATATACAACGAGAGAGCGTATTAGAAATGCTGCTGCTGTTGCTTCTTCTCATGCTGTCATTCTTTACAGACTCCCTGTTTCCGCTCTTCTGTTGATTGATATTCTTAATTCATACACAATATAAGGTCCTATATGCAAATGAAATTATTCTGGTGAACTGGTAGTGACCTTATTCGTGATGTAAATTCATTTTATTAAGGCAACACATAAGACAGCCTTCATGTTTTACATTTATATGCCACATGCATTGATATGTAAAATTCCTCCTGGACTATATACAAAGCTCTATACTAGAATTGGATAAAGATGCATACCCTTTTTTTTTTTATTGTTAATTGATGTTTATAATTGAAACTTTGTGAAAATATTTAAAGCTAACCAAAAAAAAAAGAATCCTGACCTGTCTTTTAGGTATTTATTACGAATTAGGGCTGGGCAATATGCTGTAAATATATTGTGT